CATAAACAATAACACCATCCCACGCAAAGTTTATATCTAGTCTAACAGGAGCATGGAATCCTGGTAAAAGTATATCATCAAAGAGGACATGGTCATCTAAGTGACTTTCAGTAAGACATACGATAGCATAATCCCCTGCTATGTCTTCAATATAATCCAACTTATTTCTTATACTTCTAATGTTAAGATGAAATAATGAAAGCTCGCCAGAACTCGGACCAGGATTAGATTCAGCATCCATATACATTAATAAAAGAAGCAGGAGAATAACAGAAACATTTGAATTTCGAAATCATGAAAAGAGAAAAACACTTAAAATGTGAATTAGGTTTTTCATACAGTCATAATTTACCGTTAGACTGAGGCATCCGTATGTATGTGTATACAAGATCGGACTGGAGATTTGATGAATATAGCATGACAATACATTTTTTAGCAATAAAACGAGAACAATATTATTTTGCTAATTTAAACCTTGCATACAGCTTAGATATGCGAGTAGTATGCTTGAATAAACAACTGTCTTAAACAACGTGGCGAAGGAATCTGTCTTGTTAATAAAATTCAATCGTTTGCCTATAGAACGTGTTTTCCAATAATAAATACCAATGGCACAACTCCATGTCTCAGTACAACATCCCATCAAGGAGGGTAAAAATGACAATTTCTAGTAATATCTAGGTGGCCAGTGGTAGTTTCACGCTCATAAAAATATGAAGTCATCCGATGAACAGGATATGAAGAGTACGAAATAAAGGAGTAAGAGTGACAGGTGGGATTTGAAGAATAAAGTGATAGGTAAAGATATATCGAGAGTGACAAGGAAAAGGAAAAAGGAATAGAAATATGAGAAAACACAAATATGTATATATTTAGAGCAGGATGGTGAACCGTAGAAGGTGGGCGATAGACGACTCTGTTGTGATATAAGGTAAGTATATAATGGTTTAAACAGAGCCTAGCATTTTATTCGATTAGTTTTAGGGACTAGGCTAGATTCCTATTCGTTATGAAACAGTAAATAAAGTATATAGCATTAAGATAATGGAGGAGAAAAAAAGTGAGGTACATGTAATTAAACATAATGTACGATAAGTATGGAATATAAAGCACACTAAATAAGGATTACAGGATATACATACAACAGGTATCGACTATGATTCATATTATACCAAATGTCCGGTAAGTATCAAATATATACATCAACAAATGAAATAGGGGGGCAAAAAATAATAGTACGCATGTGTTAAGCATACGGCCAAAACATATATATGTATATATTACAGCACATGTACAAACAAAAATTTGTTTAGACTGAAGCGTATAATTTCTGTAATAGATGGGTAAAATTCAATACTAAGGCAGAACATGTGTAAAAAATGCATACTTACATAACGGTAGGTATAATATATAGTTTGGTGCAAAAACAGGACATATGTCAAACGCAACATATGTACGGTAATATTTGACATAATTCAATGATATGACTTCAAAAGTGTATACGCTAGAAACGTATCTAAATAACAGCACTATAAACACATGTGTCTAAGTTGTTTGGTTACAGGTTCTGAATACGCACTGATATTTTTATGTTCAATATATACTTATTCTAGAATTCGCACTAAGACATACATACTCATTAATTCATAAATGCTAAGTCATTCGTGACAGCGTGGTATCACAACATATCTGCGAACCAATGTAAAAGGGATAATTATACATGCATGACACGAAAGAGTCACAAAGTAATACATACGTACCAACTTTTTCCAATTTAGATATATAGTATGCATCATGTTTCCGCTATGCAGACTATATTTATATAAACACACATATTCATTTGTGTTCATTAAATCACTACTCCTGGTATGCACGAATGTACTTGATTATTTAGTAACGCGCACTTAAGCGGCATAAAGCCACACTGAATTATGAATATGAATCAATTCATTTATTTATATGATATGAATACTTATTCAAGCTAATAAAAACACCTTTGGATCCAAATTAACAATCTTATTTAGAAACAAGCGTTAGGACTTACGCATGACTGACTGTACGGAAAACTCTTAGGAATTGAAAACGCCAGTACTGAAATAAATACGATCAGGAAAAAAAACACACCAAAAAACCCCAACAAAAACAAGATAACAATGTCAACAAAATCAGTTCTGAGTAAACTACATCGTACATATAATTCATATGGTATTTGCAGTGCTTTGAATTCAGATCAAATGAATTAACAATTTGTAGATTTGTTTTTTGTTTTGTGGTAACTAGAAAAGGGAGTCTGTTTAACCAGGACCTCCCTCCTCCGATTGGGGGACATAGGGCGCAATATCGTCGTTAGACTTGACAAATACCTTCGCCGACTCCATCGTGACTTTGAAAAAGATGCGACCGTCGTTCGTCCAGTATGAAGCAATGCTTTTGGCTTTAGGCGCTCGGGAAAGTTCACCGATGAGTTTCGTCTCTGTCTTGTTAGATCTTCCGAGATCCATATATTGAATGATCCGGATCTGTGGTTTTTAAGGGCAGTTTTGGACATAAATATTTTATTTTTATTTTCCAGCTTTTGAATCTACATATAATTCGCCCTTTTCCGTTTCTGAGTTTCCCAATAATGTGCGAACGGTGACTATCTTCGGTAGTCAGAGGTGGAGATATCTTGAGTTCATTATTAGACAGGTTAACAACAAGACCAGCACTCTGTGTCATCGGTACACTAGGAAAACGGAGCGACGTTCTCTGACCGTATTGTTCCAACTCTTCAAGGCCCAAATCAAGCGAAACAACTTTTTCGTTCAAAGTCTTAACTTCAGCCTGAAGCTTGATGTTATCATTTTGTAGATGAGACACATCTGTCTGCTGACGGGTACAAATGTCTTTGACCTCTGTAGTAAGTAAGGCAATTTGGTTAGTCAAAGGCTCAAAGATATCTTTGAGCATGATTGTAAGAGTAGGAGCGATGGCTTCAGCCAGACAAGGAGCAACTGCTTTTATAAATTCCGGACTCTGTATAGAAGATATTATCAGATCTTGAAGATCGAAAATTTTACCCTGGTGGCTTACCTTCTTACCACCAGAAGCAGACAGATCATCCATAGAATTTCTCTTTCTCATAGATGGTGGAGCATTTACATTATCCCCATGGACCAGTTCATACTCGGATGGACTAAATGTCTTATCAATTGTTCTCTTTTGTCGTTCGGACACTGGGGTATGAACAGATGACATAGTGGTCAATGTGATAAAACAGGGTTACAGGTTGTCAATCGTGGAATGCACTCGCGTGTATAGTTGAAAGCGACAGGTGTATGAGTGACAGGTAATCGACAGGTAAGATACTCACTCATCCAAAACAAACAAACATTTCTCTCTGTACGGTAATGTTAAGTTTTCAATTCGATAGTATCGAACAGCACAAATTTTCCAATGATAAAATGGCAGTTATGCAATGTAGATCAGCAAACCTTTCATCTCGCCAAATCCAAAGTCTGTTTAACACAAAGAAGGTGGCCAAACCAAACAAAATCGTCTGATCAAAATATCAGCAGCCTGTCCTTGTCGCCATCTTGGTTAACTACTATACATGTTTCCGCGGTTATTGGAAAGTTCCCGTATACTTACTGTTCATATTTCAGCGGTTATTGAAAAGTTCCCGTATAATAACTGTACATATTTCCGCCGTTATTGGAAAGTTCTCTTATAATTACTATGGATATTTCTGCGGTTTTTATAAAGTTCCCGTATACTTACTATACATATGTTTTGCCTTTATTGGAAAGTTCCCGTATAATTGCTGTACATATTTCCGTGGTTACAAGCTGATATCGTATTACGTGAGTGATAAACTCGTAACGGTATGATGAAATTTATTTTTTGAAAATGGAATTATATATCGCAATTATTGATATGAAAATTAAATATTGTAACTATAAACTGTCCTTTCTTATTGGTATGTTATGTTTTATTGAAAAACTCCTATTTTTTTAAGGATGTACTCTTCTGAGATTTCAGTCACGTTCAAGTCTCGTTTGGATCTAATGTAACGTGTTTTTGTAATATTTAACAAATTATGCTCGGTTTAATAGCAAACACACATCTGAGAAACATGTCAAAAAACTAGATGTCTGTTGTTTGTAGAACATTTTTTACGAAATTTGAAAAAAATGACCAATTTGGCGGCCATTTTGAAAAAGTGTATTTATGTGAATTTCTTGCGCTTCACAAAGGGCCAAAATTTCACCTTTTTTGACACTAGATTGATCACTTAAAATGTCACTGTGTCACCATTTTTAATTGTAGAAGGTCAATTTTGCTGTACAACTTTATAATGTTCAATATAATTAAAATAATATGCAAAAAATGGAAAGTTACATATTATTTGTATTTTTTTTTACATATTAGGGTAACTGAAGCACTTTTGATTTTTGACCCCGATAAAGGAGAAAAACAACAGAATAATAATGGGACAAAAAAAGAAGCACACTGACCCCCCATTTTTGAGGCTGTTTTAGAAAGAGCAACACTTTTTTTTTTGATTCATTAAATACTAAAAAAAGTTTAATACAGGATTTTTTTTTATATCAAGCGATTAATCTGCAAAAATTGGTGAAAAAATGTGCATTTTTTCATTAAAAAATAAGGGGTTGGGGTAACTAAAATTGCATTGCTGAGTAAAATGAATAAGATTAAGAAATTTTACTTCCATAATTTAAAAGAAAATAATATTTTCATCAATTCTACAAACATTCATACATATCTGATAACACACTTGAAAGAAATTGTATGAATTTGTCCTGCAAATGGTCAAAACCCGAAAATTCACCTAAAATCACATATTGTGTTAAATTGGTATCTTTGACCGATCATAGCATAAAAACGAACACACGGACACATAATTGTTTTTTGTATTTTCTACTATGCCATTATCTCCTTTTTTCCATCAATCAATATAAGAAAAAAAGTTTAATACAGGAATTTTTTGACTTCTCAGAGGTACATCCTTAAAATGAGATAAAAATCACCCATACTCTATAAATTAATTTTCGCCTACAAAGGAAATCTCTATGAGGATAAAACAGATGAACAAGCGGTGGTATTCGGCATTCGAAATGGTAATCCATTGTTTCTTTACTTTCATTATAAACAAGATATTAGATATATATTGAATAAGAACAACTTAAATCGACAGCACCTTCAATATTCTCCTCTCTAACAAAATAGATGCATTTCCATTTGATTAACTGTCTATCTTAGATCCAACATCAGAATATGATTCCGTGGCTCATATTTACCACGTTACAGCCTGAAATTAAACAAGATAAAATGTAAATATGTTATACTGTAACACTTCACTGACTACCAAATATGACACAAATTACAATAAAATATTTACTTTGAAAGGGCGCCAGAAATACATATTAGTTAATCGAATGAATTTGGTAAGTACAACATTAAAAGCTAGTTTGATTGCCAGTAGAAAGTACCAAGTTGTATCGCTAATAATAAAGTAGAAATTATGTTACAAAACTTTAAAAATAATCAACATCTTGGTGTTCCGTAAATAGTAGATAAAGATATATTGCATTAAGTATCAGTTAATCATCAATTACTTATTTTTTGAAAAAGATATACTTCCTTATACATAATACAAAAGTATTTGTCATTTGTATTGGGATTTATCTCCCCTAGGACCGTCAATTTACCCTTCTAATAATCTAATTGCAATCACTTTTATTAATACAAGTGCTCTTACGTTGTTCTTCAGTATTTCATCATATAATTCATTATTAAAGCTTAAACCAAAATGTTCAATAAATATGTTGAAGAGTTATTTGTAGTGTAAAACCCTTTTGAAAGGAAACATCTCAGTAATTTAGCATGTATCCAATCTGATTAAAATCATATGTTGCATGGCTTCGTTAACTTCGTACTACGCCTGAACATCTGAGTGTGCCGCGGTCAGGGTCACTTTCAGGTGACCTTTATATCTATAAATACTCATTGAATTTTGACCAATCAGAGACCCTCTTTCAAAAGGGCGCTCGGAGTTGTAACAAATATGGCGGACATTGATGAGAATGATGCGAAAGTTTTGAAGTTATTTGAGATTGATCGTCTTAAACCCGAACAGAAAAAGATATTCGAAGCTTATTAGAGAGAAGAAAGACTGTATGGCGGTGTTGCCTACGCAATAATTACCCAATGGGTACGTTTTCCTTGGCGTCATAGAAACGTCAGCTCCCGCCGCCATATTTGTTTTGGAAAACTAATCTGTTCGATACCCCTCGCTATTTATCTATCAACCATGATATTCCGATTCGCTAGCAAACTTTTGCCAGTGCGCCTCTGATTGGTTCATCTAAAGGTCACTTGAACGTGACCCTGACCGCGACACTTTCAGATGTTCAGGCGGAACCATGTAACAGATGATTTTAATCAGATTGGCATGTATCGTACTCTAAAAGAGATGAACATTTTATCAAAATATTTAAATTTCTTGAAACAATACTTATTACATTGTATTTATATCTTATTTTCATGTTACCTTCTTGAAGCCGTCTGCAGCTGAACGGTTTGGCAGTATTCAAATGAAAGGCGAGTTATTGTCAACATAAGTTACTCCCGAACCTCCTACGTCGTTGCCTAATTCAGAAATGGCCCCATTTGTCGAGTAGGTATTTGAAGTTATGTAAAACGACACAGAATTTGCTTTTGAAGGTGCCGCAAAATCGTCCAAAGAGTCGATTGACTGAGCAACGTTAGTCGTACTTCCGGATGTGTCATCGTTCTGAGCTATGTTCGTCACAAATCAAGCTAAGCCATAATTCTGAGCTACAGATTCTGAGCCAGGTTTGTCAAAACTCCTGTTGTGCCAAAATTCTGATCTATGTTAGGCACAATTCCTGCTGTGCCATGATTCACGGCTATGTTAGTGAAAACTCCAGTTGTGCCGTGATTCTGAGATATGTAGTTTTAAGGCACACATCCTGTTGTGTCGTGATTTAGAGCTATTTTCGTCACAAATCCGGTTATGCCGTGATTCTGGACTTTGTTAGGCACGAACACTGTTGTGTCGCCGTTCTCGAAAATGTCAGAGTCGTGCATTACTATCGGAAAACAATAAGGTTTAATTATCCGAACACGATGGGAGCGACGTACACCTAGATTCGTCACCTTGTAGCTTCGAGTTAACTTTTTGGGGATCAAAGATATTCGCCGGCGCGGCACGTTACTAGTATACCCGTAATTGATGCGACGTTTTACCGAACACCGTTTGATGACTTGTGAGCAGTACTTTCAGCCACCATCAGACTAGCAACAATACCATTACTGCAAGCATTTGCTGTTTCTTTCACAAAACCGAATGTAGACTTGACTGTGTCAGACAAACCTGCAAATGATTGTACATTCAAAAATATCTTATCATGAAAATGAGTTATGAAGAATATTACCATCTTATTTTACTTCTGAAATCGCGTTCTAACTGATGTAATAAACTAGCTCAATTTTTCCCGCAATCAATTCTCTAAAAGTGCAAATGCAGAGTTCGGGGTGATTGCCCATAATAAGTATATATATGTATATTGATTGGTCCGTTATTTGCCCAAATCAAAAAGTTGAGTGAATTTTAAGTCAAACATAGTTATTATCATGAAAAGATTACGGAAACTTTCTAATAATAGTTTACCTGCAGTTTACCTGATGATATCATATATGATTATTCGAACCAAGACATAAATAAATAAAAATAGATAAATAAATATAATATATAGATGAGTAAATAAATAAAGATTTAAAGTGCTATCCGATACTTTTAAATTTATTTAATCTTTAAAATCATTACATTAACATTAGGTCAAATAAATGACTTACCACATAGAAGTATCCATGGAGCGCCACAGCTGTCACATATGGCATAAAATTACTATATGAATTGATTTTATCATTATATTATTTGATATCATCATTATATTATTTGAAATCATCATTATATTATTTGATATCAGCAATATATGATTTGATTTCATCATTACATTGTATATGATTTGGTTTCCATTGTAAAATCAAATAATCGAATAATATAATGACAAAATCAAATCATATATTGATGCAATCATATAATATAATGAAAATATCAATTCATATAGTATTTCTATGCCATATGTGACAGCTATGGCTCTCCATAAGTTTCACATAGATAATATCATATTCAAGATATCCTTTCTGTAGCGTTCGTTATCCGAACAATTTTATTATTTTTTCAACCATATACATTATATATAAGAAATAATATTACATGAGAATCTTAAAAGTTTTAATTGTATTTATGCTTTATGAAAAGATAAGTATTTCTCTGACCGGTTACAAATATAATTAAAATTTCTTAACAGTTACGTTACCTTGTAACTCCTGCAGATGATGGTTTTTGACAAGATGATTTTGGTTGTCTGACGCAGCCTTTTATATCATCCTTTTAAATATTCCTGATTGATCTGCATTGAAAACAAAAATAAAACGACAAAACATAAGACGAAACGGTCGCTCCATCAGAAGGAAAAGACAAAAAGGTGTTTCCCATGGACATGGATTTGAAACATCAGTGAGATTAACGAACCGTTGTATGATCTTTTATGAATTACCGTTTTCAGAAACATCGTACAGACTAGAAATATGATTTTTGTATTTACACTTCATGTGCTCTTTTGCATCTCCCGTGATACATTTCAATAATGTATTTCCGTAGTTTTGTCGGAATAACGATTCTCAAATAATGCGTTTCGTTTACATGAAGCTGACCAGACTTCTGTACATTGGGCCCGGAATCATGTTGTTTCAAACTTCACGAGGTATTTTTTTTAAACTTAAAGTGTATCTTTCCCTACATCGATCATGACAATAACAAAGCATTAATCATTATTATACATATATTAAGCTTTATTTTCTAAAAGAAACCAATAAAATTTCACTAAATCAGAGACTGAACTTCTTATCAGTTCTAAAGATGATAGACCAAAGTTATATTTTTAAAGAGTTTGAACCTACTCGTTTTGATTAGTATAAACCGTATTTTATTTCGTAAACGTGCAGTTACAATTTACATACCATTTAATTATTACATACATGAAATAGGATCCAGAAACAAGTTATTAAACTTATATCAATCTGTTTCATTTCCTTTTGATTGACCGTTCCGTTTTCCTTTGGGAGTAATACACTTTAAATGGTATCTTCAAAATAAATATTCCAATTACCTTGTAATGAGGTATCCGTTGCTGATGGAACGATACGTGTCACTTTCTAATTTGTAACACTCTGTATTTATAAAAGCACGTGCGAGGGGAGAAACCTCAAACTAGAATCTCTCTTCATAGTAACAAATTTATAGATGGCGTCCGACGCACACAAGCGTCCGAGGTGTGCCAATCATTCACAGGATAAAACAGGATTAGCCTACTTATTTCATAGCAAATTTAACGAAACAGGCAACGAGGGGGCCGCTAGGGTGTTAATTACAAAGATGGTTGTGAATTGTCCGAAATGTTGCCGAAAAGATGTCCGGTAGGGGCTATTTTGGTAGCAGTCAAGGAAAGTGACCCAAATCGGATCAAGGCTTGAATTTTGCAGTAACCTACAAATGAATATTCTTTTGTCAGCATATCCAAATTTTATGATTTAAAATTTGTCTTCATCATTGTTATAACTGTTTTGTTGACACATTTATTGATTTATAAGTATTTTTGCAAAAAGTGATCCGATTGAGGTATTGTCACCTTACAACTCAAACTCACACAGTGACTTATTAGTATTAAACTATCTAAAAGACTGTCAGGGTGACACTTTCGTTATCTCTTGGTTAGGAGGGGTCTACTGATTCATAGACCCCTTCGGCTCGGGGTCTATCAAAATCAGACGGGGACTATGAGCCCGTAGACCCCTCCTAACCCAGAGATAAATAATATTATACCAACCTTTGAATATTTCTGATTAATCTGCTGTCATTTTCAAAACATTTGGTATGAACTAAAGATACAATCAATGCAAGTATTAGAAAGACACCAGAGTGAAGTACACATTCTGATTTGAAGAAACAAAATAAATCAAGGAGGATAAGAAATGCTAGAGGACGTTATATGGTTAAACATGTTAAAATAGATACCTAACAGTCTGTAAAATCTCGTGGACATAAGGACTGTTATATGGTTAAACATGTTAAAATAGGAAAGATATCTAAAAGTCTGTAAAACCTCGTGGATATAGTGACTGTTATATGGTTAAACATGTTAAAGTAGGAAAGATATCTAAAAGTCTGTAAAATCTCGTGGACAAAGGGACTGTTACATGGTTAAACATGTTAAAGTAGTAAAGATACATAAAAGTCTGTAAAACCTCGTGGATATAGTGACTGTTATATGGTTAAACATGTTAAAGTAAGAAAAATACATAAAAATCTGTAAAATCTCGTGGATATATGGACTGTTATATGGTTAAACATGTTAAAGTAAGAAAGATAATAAAAGTCTGTAAAATCTCGTGAATATAGGGACTGTTATATGGTTAAACATGTTAAAGTAGGAAATATACATAAAAGTCTGTAAAACCTCGTGGATTTAGTGACTGTTATATGGTTCAACATGTTAAAGTAGGAAAGATACATAAAAGTCTGTAAAACCTCGTGGATATAGTGACTGTTATATGGTTAAACATGTTAAAGTAAGAAAGATACATAAAAGTCTGTAAAACCTGGTGGACATAGGGACTGTTATATGGTTAAACATGTTAAAGTAGGAAAGATACATAAAAGTCTGTAAAATCTCGTGGACAAAGTGACTGTTATATGGTAAAACATGTTAAAGTAGGAAAGAAACATAAAAGTCTGTAACATCTCGTGGACATAGGGACTGTTTATGGTTAAACATGTTAAAGTAGGAAAGATACAAAAAAGTCTGTAAAATCTCGTGGATATAGGGACTGTGGACAAAGTGACTGTTATATGGTAAAACATGTTAAAGTAGGATAGAAACATAAAAGTCTGTAACATCTCGTGGACATAGGGACTGTTTATGGTTAAACATGTTATAGTAGGAAAGATACAAAAAAGTCTGTAAAATCTCGTGGATATAGGGTCTGTTATATGGTTAAACATGTTAAAGTAGGAAAGATATATAAAAGTCTGTAAAATCTCGTGGACATAGGGACTGTTATATGGTTAGACATGTTAAAGAAGGAAAGATACATAAAAGTCTGTAAAATCTCGTGGATATAGTGACTGTTATATGGTTAAACATGTTAAAGTAGGACAGATACATAAAAGTCTGTAAAATCTCGTGGACATAGGGACTGATATATGGTTAAACATGTTAAAGAAGGAAAGATACATAAAAGTCTGTAAAATCTCGTGGATATAGTGACTGTTATATGGTTAAACATGTTAAAGTAAGAAAGATACAAAAAAGTCTCTAAAACCTCGTGGACAAAGTGACTGTTATATGTTAAAAAATGTTAAAGTAGGAAAGATACATAAAAGTCTGTAAAACCTCGTGGATATAGTGACTGTTATATGGTTAAACATGTTAAAGCAGGAAAGATACATAAAAGTCTGTAAAACCTCGTGAATATAGTGACTTTTATATGGTTAAACATGTTAAAGTAGGAAAGAAACATAAAAGTCTGTAACATCTCGTGGACATAGGGACTGTTTATGGTTAAACATGTTATAGTAGGAAAGATACAAAAAAGTCTGTAAAATCTCGTGGATATAGGGTCTGTTATATGGTTAAACATGTTAAAGTAGGAAAGATATATAAAAGTCTGTAAAATCTAGTGGACACAGGGACTGTTATATGGTTAAACATGTTAAAGTAAGAAAGATAATAAAAGTCTGTAAAATCTCGTGAATATAGGGACTGTTATATGGTTAAACATGTTAAAGTAGGAAAGAAACATAAAAGTCTGTAACATCTCGCGGACATAGGGACTGTTTATGGTTAAACATGTTATAGTAGGAAAGATACAAAAAAGTCTGTAAAATCTCGTGGATATAGGGACTGTTATATAGTTAAACATGTTAAAGTAGGAAAGATACATAAACGTTTGTAAAACCTCGTGGACATAGGGACTGTTATATGGTTAAGCATGTTAAAGTAGGAAAGATACATAAAAGTCTGTAAAATCTCGTGGACATTGTGACTGTTATATGGTTAAACATGTTAAAGTAGGAAAGATAGTTAAAGTAGGAAAGATACATAAAAGTCTGTAAAATCTCGTGGACAAAGTGACTGTTATATTGTAAAACATGTTAAAGTAGGAAAGAAACATAAAAGTCTGTAACATCTCGTGGACATAGGGGCTGTTTATGGTTAAACATGTTAAAGTAGGAAAGATATATAAAAGTCTGTAAAATCTCGTGGACATAGGGACTGTTATATGGTTAAGCATGTTAAAGTAGGAAAGATACATAAAAGTCTGTAAAATCTCGTGGATATAGTGACTGTTATATGGTTAAACATGTTAAAGCAGGAAAGATACATAAAAGTCTGTAAAACCTCGTGAATATAGTGACTTTTATATGGTTAAACATGTTAAAGTAGGAAAGAAACATAAAAGTCTGTAACATCTCGCGGACATAGGGACTGTTTATGGTTAAACATGTTAAAGTAGGAAAGATATATAAAAATCTGTAAAACCTCGGGGACATATGGACTGTTATATGGTTAAACATGTTAAAGGAGGAAAGATACAAAAAAGTCTGTAAAACCTCGTGGACATAGGGTGACTGTTATATGGTAAAACATGTTAAAGTAGGATAGAAACATAAAAGTCTGTAACATCTCGTGGACATAGGGACTGTTTATGGTTAAACATGTTAAAGTAAGAAAGATACAAAAAAGTCTCTCAAACCTCGTGGACAAAGTGACTGTTATATGTTAAAAAATGTTAAAGTAGGAAAGATACATAAAAGTCTGTAAAACCTCGTGGACATATGGACTGTTATATGGTTAAACATGTTAAAGTAAGAAAGATACAAAAAAGTCTCTAAAACCTCGTGGACAAAGTGACTGTTATATGTTAAAACATGTTAAAGTAGGAAAGATACATAAAAGTCTGTAAAATCTCGTGGACATAGTGACTGTTATATGGTTAAACATGTTAAAGTAGTAAAGATACATAAAAGTCTGTAAAACCTCGTGAACATAGAGACTTTTATATGGTTAAACATGTTAAAGTAAGAAAGATACAAAAAAGTCTCTAAAACCTCTTGGACAAAGTGACTGTTATATGTTAAAATATGTTAAAGTAGGAAAGATACAAAAAATTCTGTAAAACCTCGTGGATATAGTGACTGTTATATGGTTAAACATGTTGAAGTAGGAAAGATACAAAAAAGTCTGTAAAACCTCGTGAATATAGTGACTTTTATATGGTTAAACATGTTAAAGTAGGAAAGATACAT